AGCCTCAGAGTCAACCGTTGAACAGTTCATCACCCAGAAACCTCAGAGTTAACCGTTCAACAGTTCATCCCCCAGAAACCTCAGAGTTAACCGTACAACAGCCCATCCTCCAGAAGCCTCAGAGTCAACCGTTGAACAGTTCATCACCCAGAAACCTCAGAGTTAACCGTTCAACAGTTCATCCCCCAGAAACTTCAGTGTTAACCATTCAACAGTTCATCCCCCAGAAAGTTCAGAGTTAACCGTTCAACAGTTCATCCACCAGAAACCTCAGAATTAACCGTTCAACAGTTTGTCATCCCCCAGAAACCTCAGTTTTATTCATACAGCTTTCAAATGTATTAAAATGAGTATTTAAATCTTATTTGTAAAAGTGTCTTTAACTTAAATGACAGGAAAAGCGAAAACAATTATAATCTATGTTGTATCTTCAGGTAAGCCGTTTCCACAACTCCTATCAAACCGAGAAGGCTGCAGCCTTTCGATTGGGTGGAGAGGTGAGTGATGGTTACATGACTTTTTTTTTCTAACTGTTGTAAAGCCCTTGCTTGTTTTCATACATATCGATATATGTTTGAGTGTCAAAGATTAAGTTCAACATTTTACAGTAAAAATGTCAATATGTTTTGTGTGCATGATAACTTGTGTGTTTGAGTTTGATTACAGTACACTATCCATGATATAGTTGTTTTCTATTTATTTATTTTTTTTGTACATCATGTCATTATAGATAACATTTAAGAATATTTTTTTTTGTCCTTTGTATAATTTGTAATGTTGTCATTGGGTTACCAATGATATGGACACCTATCGGATTTTTCTAAACTATCTATGCACCAAGTTGCTTATGGTTTCTTTACTTTGTTTACCACAGGATCGTTAATAACATGTGAGTTACAAAATAGATGTAAACACAGAATACCGTCAATTTTGCGCAATTGATCTCACGAATTAAAACCGGAGATTTTTATGTATCTCACATTGAAAATGAATGAGTTCATATCTCACTCAATTATTGGATAGTTATGTATATTGAACTGTTAATTGGTAAGAATATAAAACTATAATTATTAAATATAATACAATATGTGAACTCCACCGGTACAGTACAGAACGGTAACGTAAATGTTGAACTAATAAAGAATTCGTAGAATTAAACGAGAGTTTCGTTGTTTTATTAACTTCTTGATGTTTAGTGGTAATTTAAGTAAATTTTTTTTGTTTCTACGTTTTTCCTCTTTTTAAACCGATACCAATAACTTTGTTCTTTTGAATTTTTTTTTGTTTCTTTATGATGTTATTTCTTTTAGATTGCTCGTGGAGTACAATTGGTAGAGCTTGATGAGATGTCAGCTCACCGAAATAACTATCAGCAATTTGTGTCGCTGAAAAAAAATATAACTAGGTGAAAAATATATATTAGCAGCTTATTTTGAATATTTGTGGTTAGGTTATTGTGATTCAAGCTATTACTTTTTAGCAAGTTACCTTTGTTTGTTTGAAGTTAAGCACAAAGATACACAATAGGCTATCTGTGCTCTGCCTACCACGGGTATCGAAACCCGTTTTCTATCGTTTTAAGTCCGCAGACATGCCACTGTGGAGCACAGGTCATCCGGATTATATATTATACTCAGTGGTGGTTCGTCAGTTGAATAAGGGAGGCCGTGCCTTTTGAAAGACTTTAAAGATATAAACTGTTTCTTATTTTTTTATGTTAATACCTATATTTTCTTTGTTTTTTTTTGTAAAATTCATGAAAAAAAAAAACAACAAAAGTCAAATACCAAAACGTTCAAAACTCTTTTCGTCTCGCACTACGTTATTCACGAAGATGACGTCTCGTGGTGTGAGGCACAGAGCTTCTCGGTTCCTTTTTTTTTTTATCTCTACAATTTTAATATGCTGCGATGGAAATATCCGAGAGGAACCGAGCTGTCTTACCAAGTTTAACAAGGATCTTTAAGTTAGCCACACAGTTAACGAAGGCAATGAGAATCAAGGTTTTGAAGACGAAGAAAGAAAATCATTTTTAGAAAGGTTTGTAACCACGAGAAGCACACAAACACCTCATAAGATCTCGGTGATTAAGACCTGATAGAAAAATGAATAATTCTGTGACCATTCATTGTTTTAAGGATACAGACAAATAAAAATGAATTTCTTTAAATAATGCGTGAAGACTTGGCTAAAAAGTGCGACAATTTATCGTGATCTGGAGGTTTTTTTGAAGCTTTACAGTTTCAACAATAGTTAGGACTTGTCTTGCACGACTACGTTACCAACGTATTTGCAGGTATGATAGACCGGCGACTCGAATTTTTGTATAAATAAATCGAGACGTTTAATATAAGTACAGTATCTGTTTTACTGTTCTCTAGTTTTTGTTGTGTGGTTAAAATATCTCCAGCCTCCTCCTCAATATTAACTACGAGCCGCTGCTGACTGTACTGTGTATATGGACATACGCGTTAGCAGCAAGTCTGTTCACCGAAAGACAAGTAGATCACGTGACCATGAGAAAACTTTTGAAACAATCGAATATTAGAGTGTTTTTGTATATTTTACCTAAAGTGAAAATTATAGCATTTTTGGTGCTCGTTCGTGAAAATACTTGGTTTGAAGGTAATAGTTGTATCTGAAACACTAGGTTATGATAGTTAAATATCGGAAATCACGGGGTTTGTTATAATTAAACATTTTGTTTTGCTAATGTTCAGTAATGAACAGATCTTCCGTTATTTGAAATAAAAGTGTGTGTTTGAACACTTATTCTTTCGATATAGGCTGTAGATAATAAATTAATTTTACATTGTTTTGTATGGTATAGTTATTGAGGAAAAGTAATGAATGACAGAAAAGTTCAGGTGAGAAAACATCTAATTGCTATAGTCTGGTTGTGAGCGAAATACAGTCGAAAACGAAGTTCCAAGACGAAAAAACAATAACATTGAATTGGTATCTGCTAAATATTTGCTGTTGAACAATTAAGCGTTTGTAACAAGCATCAAAATACGGATTGATTAATTAGATTATAATGTAATGATGTTAGTATCCTGAGGCATACTAGAGGTAAAACAGCGAGTATTAAAACGTATCAAAACGGAATGATGTTTCATTTCAACCTGCGAGTATTCGAGGCAACAGCTGCGAGTGTTCTTATCAGAATTCGTACTGTTGTGTAATAGAATGATGTAACAACCTGCGAGTATTCGAGGCAACAGCTGCGAGTGTTCTTATCAGCGCCGCAGGTTGTTACATCATTCTATTACACAACAGTACGAATATATATTAGAGACATAACAGCGAGTGTGTTTTTGTATTCTACAACCAAACGTTTCAAACATCTTGTAAAAGGAATTAACTTATTCAATATCGCTGTATTAAGTAACTTTAATCTCATTTTTGATATTTAGTTTCGCACATAGGTATGACATTTGTCTTATCTAGAGTGTTGTAGTTCTGTAACACAGTATTGTTTGTAAGCGTATAATATATATTTTGAAAGATATGGCTCTACGGTATATGCAAGTATCTTACGGAATTTTTTTTTTAGTTTTGTAAGGCAGTGTAGTTTTAGTTTATAAGTGGTCGATTGTTTGGTTGTGTACCTAACTAATATGTCGTGTGTTTTGGTATTCCGTGTCACCAGGAAGATAGAATTACAGTATGTAATAACGTATTATTGGTTGATATGTATATTAGTGCTTTGTACATAAGCATTAATTTATATATTTATTATTATAATAGAATTGCTAACGACCTGATAGTAAACGTATATGTGTGGTTAATTAGATTGTTTGTAATTTGTCTGGAAGACTATTATTTGTCTCTCTGTGCAACTAAAACGTGCTCTTAAAAGAGAATTCTTTTGGTGGAGAAAGGAACTCGGTCATGACTTTTGTGTATTGAGATGTACTTCAAAAAATATACAATGTCTTTATTTTGATGTAAAGACGATACATCCTCAGCTAACATATCTTGTGTCCTCAGAATACGTTCGACTCCACAACATAAGCGTGAAGTTCAGTTTTCAAGTTGTGGAGTTGTCTTTGTTGCGGTTACTTAATGCAGAAGTTTCGGTAATTAAATGTTAAATGTTTATTGCTTGTATTTTTTGTTATTTTAATTTCTGCTGTCAGAAGTTGCAACAGGATCTGAAAAGCGTGGGAACAGAAGTGAAGATGGAGATCGATGATAAAGAATGGTATTAAGAGTTGGGTATCTCGCGCACAAGTTTTCTTCGGATAAATTGATTAGTTCTTTATTGTAGTAAATAACGTATGAGTGAAATAATTATTTAGTGAGATTAACGTGTGCACGTGAACTGCATTAAATAGTCCCACTTCATTGGTTATGGCATCATCTTGTTCTGTTAAAACATCCTACTAGACTGGGATTTAAAACCACCACCACCACCACAAACAAAATAACTGCAATTAATCTCTCTGTTCTTCAAGATACTGAAAAAAGTGTTCCGGTTTTGAAAGTAATTGTGGTATCCCATTTACATAGTACACAACATTTAATGACAATTTATAAAATTATTTTTATGAATCCTTTATCACTCTGGACAACAGAAGTTATTCTGTTCTGAGTGAAATATGTAACGTTGGATTGTGGGACAAATCTTTAAAAACGAGCAAAAGTTTTGTGATGTATTCTAAAAACGAAGTAACTGTGGTCAAATACCTCTCTTATACTGATAAGTATGTAACATTCGGCACATTGTTATCTTGAGAATAAACTATAGATAGTGTATAGAATATTTATTCATTATGATATTATAGGTTACATTCCATTAATCGGTCCGACAAAAGTTGGCGGTGAGTGGTGTCCCTTTAGTTTGTTGCTTCAATATTAGACACGGTGAGCGTAGATAGTCCAAGTACCTTTTATCAAAATTCAAGAAATTCGTATCGACGTTGGCCTCGATAATACTAGTTTAACGACCATTCAAGTTAATGCAGAACAGCCTGTTTCATCCTGAAGATTTATTCAAAAAATGAACGATTTCTGTTGATGAGTTATTGTAGAGCTACAAACATTGAATCAGGATAAAATTTTCTTATCTCTAAAATTAATTCCCGAGGCAGAGAGGCTCAGAATAATTGTCATATATTACTTAAAATCAGAACACGGAATAGAAAATGTTCTTATTTCTCTATAAACTCGAAGTGCACTTTATGTTCTTCTGAAACTAAGGAACCGATGTATTACTGTAATAAGAACTTATTTCTCTATAAACTCGAAGTGCACTTTATGTTCTTCTGAAACTAAGGAACCGATGTATTACTGTAATAAGATCTTATTTCTCTATAAACTCGAAGTGCACTTTATGTTCTTCTGAAACTAAGGAACCGATGTATTACTGTAATAAGAACTCGCGATACGTTAGGTTTAACGTGTGAGATTAAACTCATTGTATCCGTTTTGTTTGAAGTTCCGGATGTTCATTCAAGAGTAAAGAGGTGAGTTCTCATGTTTATTTGTTTAC